AATGGGAGCCATAGACCAAGATTCAGATTCAGAAAAAGACACAGTCACCCTGGAAAACAGCTGTCTCAGGCTCTTAGACTGGTTGTCCACCTACTTTGGGGTGTATGTACATCCACATTAATGTGTTGCATTCTGTTTACCTAATTTGTATTCTGCTTTTGACCTGGAGTTGCGCTTCCAGCGTAGCATGCAGCATACAAGCTATATAAAAGTGTAAATTGTAATGGCATTTAGAGACATTACTCTACTCATCTAATTCGAACCATAGCTGACAGAACAATCCTCATTTTAGAAAATCATTATGAACTGTGTTATAACTTCCACAGGGCTATAAGATGGTTTACCTGAATTGAGTTATTTTGAGCCATATCCTAATTATTTTATATAAACTGAGAACAGATGGTGTTTCAGAAAAAGTGCTTAAAGTAGGGGTAACAAATGAAACGTATCAATTTTACAGATTAATGTTAACAGTCCAGATAGACTGTTAGTTAATCCTGTAGTGATAAATACATTTTATATGGAAGTAAGTCCTATAAAAATGGATGGGGGTAAGGGGTTGAGTTATAAATGGTGGGGGAGTGGGGTATATGAAATTAACAAAGTCTTCAGGAAAAAAACAGTAATATTTATTAAGAGCAACCCAAACAACAATGCAAAAACTTTTGAGTTCTCCAAAACTCTTTATCAGACTTATGTTAAAAAGAGCTGGGTTGGGGTGGAGGCCTTTCTGTTTCCATCCTGTGTAGGACGCTTTGCTGGTTTCAGTAGAGCAGCTAGCTGGTATCAGGTTGTGCCCCTATACCAAATAAAAAAAATTATAACCCTCCAATTTGAAACTATAACATCCAGTAGTTGATCAGATGTATCTAACCAAATGGAATCCACATAAGGCTGAGAGCACAGGAAAAATACAGCATCACAACCTTGGTATTCCTTGGAGGTCTCCCATCCAAATATTAGCTAAGGCTGACACTGCTTAGCTTCTAAGATCTGACAAGACTAGGCTAGCCTGGGCTGTTGAGGTTAGGGTATAACCTTTGCATTAGTGATACTATATTAATGCTGTTAAGTGATGCACTAAATGTTATTATCTAATGAAATTTAAGATCTTTCCCCTTTCTTCAGCAGCTAAATCCCACCATTCCCTATGTAGACAAAGGTAACTGTGATGTTATGTAACAAAAACAAACCCAAAAAAGCAAATACCTTTTACTGTATTATACAAAACTGAATGGTCCACATTAGTGAATGGAGTATTCTTTTTTCCATTAGAGGGCACTGTATACCACTCTGCAAAGCAACCCTGTAGAATGAATCCACAAACATCAGTAATCTAGTTTATTTCTAGATTTTCTATTTGCATGTTTTAATATTTTTGTAATGGCCCATTACTACTACCTATAAGTTCAAAAACAAGCATAGACTAGACCTAGTCAAAACCTATGTGCAGTGAAATCTTTAGGAATTCGATGGGGCGGGGGACAATGATTTTCATTGTTTATGTACAGTTCTTTCATTTAACAGTATTTCTCTGCGATAAATGGCATGGCAGTTTAATCATTCTTGCTTTCTGAAGTTTTTAGTTTGGTTTAGTTCTATTATAACAGCATACTTTCATTAATTGTTAAGTATTCATGCACTTCCATGTACTATGTAGATGGTAATGCCATATTTAAACTTAGAAATTATGTTCAGCTTTAGAGAATCTGTACAAGATAAGCCTTTATGGTCCTTACTTTCTATTGGTTGGGATGCTGATTTGAAGTAAGCTTTATTGGTCTAAATACATACAGGTAGAGAAGGCTCTTTCAGATGTCTGTCTTCTTCCCCAGTCATATTGTCAGACCAAGAAATTAAGCAGGAAGTATGTCATAAAAGAGGCTTATATTATCTTGATAGGCTGGTTAGGACAGCCCCATCCACTTCCCTCCCTCAGAGGCAAGATTTTCCCTCTGTTTTTCTTTCCCTGTCTGACTGAGCCACCCTAGTAATGTGTTTTCTTCTTTCCTGAAGAACTCTGGCTGTCCCACCCTGTCAAAATACAATATTTTGGCTGTTTGCTCAGCCGAGGAACCTGAGAGAAGGATTAGGAGCCTGTTTTAACTTAAACAACTTAAATGGCACTTGAGGTGTTTTGAAATTAAAAAATAACACAATATTTTATTTAACACAGAGGGAAAAGCTGTGGTGAAATCGGGTTGAAATTTCTGAGGTGAAGCCAGTACGTGCACAGACTTTAGTTCTTAGGTTTCAGGCTAATGAGAAGTTTAAGCTTTTCACAGTGACTTAATCTTTATGCTGAGAAGCTTTTGTTCCAGTGTTTCCCCAGAACACTTCAGTACACTTTATTTGAGTATTCTCTCTTTTGGTTTCCAGAAGGCTGGTACAGTCTGTCGAGTAACCAAACTCCTCCTCTTGAAACACCAATATTCATCTTGAGTTTTTAACTTGACTCTTAAGGCAGTTTCTAACTACACCAGACCAGGGATCTCTGCATTCCAGCTAACTGCCTGTTTGCTTGGGTAGGGAATTTTCTGTCTAGAAGATCTATCCCCTTTCCATAGCCTGAATGAGAGTTTTGCCTACTTCCCAAACTTCCTTGTCAACTTTCCCTCAGTTCTCCATCTGTGTTAAACTGCTCTCAGCCAAGGTGGGACTTTGAAGCCATCAGTACTCTTCTCAGCTAGGGCTGAAATCAGACTGAATTCTCCTCAGCATCCGGTTCAGAAGTCTTTCTTTGCTCAGCTAATGGTAACCAATCAGATTCCTTGGAGCAGCCTGTCAATCAAGGTTCTCTGGTTGTGTGAAAAATTAACCCCTCACAGTCCTATATCTGTTTACACAGCACTTCTCAGCTTTTAAAAGTGCAGTCCATCACACGTGTTACTGGCTTTGCAGGAGACTTGCCATTTCCTCTACCCTTATGTACTATTAACATTAATAAAGGCATTAGTAAACAGCAACAGCATAGGATAGAGATGCATCAGAGAACTACTATGTGAAAACCCCTACACTGCAACATACAATCCAACTCCAAAATTAAACATGTAACTGGGTATTGGGTATTAATATTACACCATCACAGTTACTTTACTGTATCTAAATCCCATTTTTCATACAGTTGTCTCCCAGATTGGCTCACAAAAATCAACAGGCATATAGCCCTCTGCCTTCGGGTTTACAAAATAGAAAAGACATAGCAAAGGTCAGTGGAGGGAAAAGGGGCTAAGTTTAACAACCTTTGATTGGGCTTGCTATGGGAGTTCTTGTTATGAAGGGACCAGTGTGCTTTCAATTATGCATGTAGCCTAGCCCTGTAAGAGTTCAGTGGCACATTCTTGAGTGTGCATAATAATGTAATCTTTTAAGTTTCTTTCCATAATTTGTTATTACTGAAGTTTCTGTCTAGGTTTAGGGATATTGGAACCAGTCCTGAACACACTGCTCTTAGGCATAGGAATAAATGCAGCCTTTTCTGATGAAGTAGGGGATAATGCGTAGGGCATAATTGAGTATCAATGTGTGCCCATGTCCAATGCTAGTCCCTGTTCTACAGTATATTGCATTGCATCTCAAATAACTAAGGAGTTAGATTCCAGCCTTAGTCCAGAATATCATAGCCTGTTCTTAAAATACTAGTTTCAGGAGATGTATCCAAATGGCCCTCGTGAAGGTGTCATATCTATGGAACATAGTGGTATCATTTAGGCCGCAATCCTAAATACACTAAGGAGTAAATCCCATTAATCTTAATGTGCTTAGCATTGCACTGTTGGGAGTTTAACTCTACAAAACAACACAAAGAGGCTTTTGCACTTTGTAGAAACAGAGGCACTAGAGTACAAGCATCTGCAGAAGCTGCATCATGTGATTTGATTCTGTGCTCCTAGAAACAGTTTTGGTTACTTAATGGGAAACAAGTACCTTGCAAATCCTTAGTGGCATTAAATTCTTTTCAGCTAACCAGAACATTTATTATGGTATATTTATATCCTACCCTTTCTCAGTGCTCAACCCACTCAGAAATCTCGTTCGGTCTAATGAAATGTACTGCCCAGTAAGTGACTTTATGGTTGCACCCCCAAGGAGCTTAGAGCTTATTTCAACCTAATGAAGACAGGCCAAACAATAGTGGTAGGACCAAGACCACACTGTGTGCTTTGAAGAGCCCAAGCCAATGCATTTTTACTGAGAAGCAGACCCACTTCCACAGCGGAAATTACTCCCAGCTAAGCATGCCTGAGTGTTCACAACCCGTACTAGCCATCAGTCTACAATAACCCTGTTCATATGCTATAGTGAACACATGTACAATCTACCTGTACATCTGTTTGTAGGAAAGAGCCAATGTGTGTTCAGAGAAACCAGGGAGCAGTACATGGATAAAGGTGGGGTTTGTATCACTGTAATGAGAATTATTCAACATTTGTACGAAGAACAAGTATACACAGATTATGCATGCATTCAATGAAATTTGTAAACAGGGCTAGTATATATGTGGGAAAGGGAACTGATATAGTAAACTAAGGTCTTGGAAACATTCTGTGGCTCCCCCCCCCCATTTCAAATTAAGCCTCAGGTAGCTGAAATGCAGCCTTAGGACATGCAGGTCTAGATGGGAGACTTCTGGGCAAAAGTTTATTTTGATGTGAATTGCTTTCCCT